TCATCACTTCTGGTATTACAGCAAATGACAAAATGAACCCATTCATCCTGAAAAGCCTTGCAGAGGCTTTTTCCAAGCCTCTGGGAGGCCGAAAAAGGCCTGAAACCAGTCGAAAAATCAGCTGTGAGGCACGCACATGTGCAGTGAGGTAAGTTTGCCTGCGGCTCGCGTACCAGCACAAATGTCCCTGCGTGCCACTTGTGGCAGGTGTGCCATAGGTTCGCCATCACAGCTCTAGGCTTTTTATCATCAGTCCACACCTCGAAAGGGTCCATTATTCCTTCCAGGAAATGGTCTCGATATGGCTTCCAAAGCTGACACCCTTCTTCTTTGCTATCGGGAACGTATATCAGAGATCAATCGGGATCTGTGGCCCAGCATTCTCCATTCACACATTTCAAGAGCCACAGCCTGACCAGATTCCTTATGAACCATCAAAGGGGATTTTGGAAGGGGTGGGGGAAGCTCTTTCTGAAATGCACCGTGCCAGTTTTAGGGCTTCTTCTCTGTCTCAAAATGGCAGACCTCGCGGGTCCATTTTTGGTCGTCACAATTAGAAAGCTGCTCATAGCTCTTGATCTGGAGTTTGCCGACCCCTGAGCTGAACTCTGGGTTTTTCTCAGTCAGTTTTTTTTTTTTTTCATTTGGTCTTAGTTTGTCCCAGCGTGGCATTTGTGGCCTTCTAACCCTCCTCTGTTTAGCCAGCTTTATCTGACAAGGGTTTTGTGTTCTCCACAGGAATTCGGTTAAAGATGTTCATCAAAAGCATCGCCACTTTATGAAACCCCAACAACCTTCAGCTCAGTCCAGCTGCAGATATTTTTAAACAGTGTCCATTTTAGGATAGCTCTTGTAGAGGGAGTGAACTGGCAATATCTGGAGGTTAAAAATAAATTATAAGGGAGTTTCCCACTCTTTTTTTTGTTGTTGTTGTTGGAAAAGTCAAACAAAGATTTTAATTGACCCAAGGCTATGAATTTGTCTGTTGACAAAATTCTAATAATTTCCTTGTCTGTGCCTTTGTATTGCCTTAATCTGCTTTTATATTAGTTGCGTCTCAAGGCTAGTTATGGTTTCTGTCGCTGCATCATAGCAGTTTTGTCAATTATGCTATCCCTGTCGTGTTTTCCCTAGGTTTATGAAATAAATTGTCTTCAATCTCAGGGTATATTTGGGAGCTTATTATCGAAACTCTCACAAAATGGCTCCCGTGATTTGATGTGGCTGGTTCCCACAGACATGCCGGAAGATAAATGAAGCTCTGGGTTTCAGCCAGTCTTGTATTTCTAAGTTTTCATTTTTTAAAAGTTTTATTTTGGTTCTATTCCTTACTTTCTAATATTGCTACTATGGCCGGAGATTTTGTTGCAAATATGCATTGACGTTTGGCAGAACTGTTGAAACTGTAAAACATGTTTTGTTACATTACTTCTTTTATCCTGATACATAGTGATAACCTTGCATTTAAATACTTTTTCCAGTCCTTTTGACTAGTTTTAATTTACTGTTTTGTTTTCAGGTATGCATGGCCTTATTACTTTAATTGTTACATACATAAAATGGATGAATCGATAAAGTCCAGTTAATTTTATGATTTACATTTCTTTGTATTGATGTAAACACTGTTTTATCTTAAGATTTTCTTCTTTTTTCACGAAGCTGATATTTTCCTTTTTAACGCATTTTCATTTCTTTATTTTGTTTAAATTAAACCCTATAAAAATAGAGCTTGAGAGACACCCAAAGGTTTGGGATTTTCATCCTTTGCACATTGTTGATGTAATATGAATCCTGATTGAATGAACTGGAATTTTCTCCCGCAAGGGGCTGGTTACCCTGTTTATGGCTGCTGCTATGGATCTTAATTTCTAGTTGGACGTTGATTTTTCACCATGTTTTTTTTTTTTGGCAGCGTCTGCCTTTGAGTCATGATTGGCTCCTGGTGACTGCATGGTTTCCTTGGCAAGATTTTGGTAGTGATTTGCTGAGAGTGGGTGACTGGCCCAACATCACCCAGCCAGCTTTGGGCTAATGCAGGGCAATCCTGGTTTCTAGCTTTTAGTTCCTTAACCAATATTTATCAAACCGGCTTTCACTATGGAATTATTGGGCAAAAAAAGATCAGTGCTAATTTCTCAAAAATTCTGTAGCTTTCCCCCCATAGTCGATAATTTTAAACTGCAAAACCAATCCGGGTAGAAGGCTTTTAATTTCTGAGAAATAGCTGTAACAAGATATGGGGTTTTTTAGTCTAGCACAAGGGCCTTCAAACTTGGCATGTTTTAAGACTTGTAGACTTCAACTCCCAGAATTCCTGAGGTAACATGGCTGGAGGAGGAATTCTGGGAGTTGAAGTCCACAAGTCTTAAACGTGCCAAGTTTGAAGGCCCCTGCTCTAGCAGTTGGGGTATCAGATCTATGATCTGAATGAGGACTCTGTGCCTGGATGGAAGAGGGAGAGCCAGCTTCTATAGCTGTTGGCCATCTAATCTAATGTTGGTTGTTGCTTGTACAATAGATTTGTCCCCCTGCCCTGCCCCAGGTCAAACACAATGTGGATGTGGCCCTCCATGAAATTGAGTTTGACAAGTCTTCTGGAGCAATTGGCTTTGTTACTGCCAAAATACAGGACAGTCTTGGCTTGGTTGCCGAGATCTTACATCTGTGGAGAAACACGAAGTTTCCCCTCAACTGGTTGACCCATCTAATAGGCAGGGACCAAGATGGAGACAATTATGGTCCTTACTTGGCCTTCTTAATCATCTGGCTGAGAGATGATGTCATGGAGGGCATCCAGTTTTTTCATTAACAATTATGACCTTCCCCTGCCATGGATTCCTGTATATACCGTGTTTCTCACAAAATAAGGCCAGGCCTTTTTTTTTTTTTTTGACCCCTGAAAAAATGGCTAGGCCGTCTTTTGGGGGGTGGCTTAATTCCCCCCCCTTGCATCCTCGGGTGGGTGGGCGGCGGCAGCTTGGATGTTCAGGAGACCTTCCGCCACCGTTGCTTTCCCTTCTCCCCTGCTGCCGCGGCGTTAGAGCAACGCCGCGGCGTTTGGTGCAGCCACGTGTGGCCAGTCAGGGCTCCTCCCTGCAACTGGAGCCCTGAGGAGACACTTGGCTTCAGGCGCTCCTGTTGCCGCCTTGCCTTTGCCTTCGAAAGTAAAGCAAATTATTTTAAAAACGACAGCCTACTACAACAAAGCCTCCCCTGCCCAAGAGGGCAGCCCAACCCCATGTGGGGAGGCAAATCTCCCGGGGCTGCAGCGCAGGATCGGCCCACCTCGGGAGAAGTGCCCAGCCGCCATCCCTGCCTGGCACCAGGCAGAGCGCGAAGAGCTCCGCCTGGGGTGCCCAGCGCAGCTGACAGGGGGGCCCTCCTGCCCGGCGGCAGAGCTCTCACCAAGGCAGCGAGCGCCTCCCCGCCGGGCCCTCTGCTCATCCCGCCAGGGCCGTGCCGGGGCTGGGCAGAGCCGGGAAAGCGAGCTGCGGGCGAGGCGCTCGCTGCCTTGGTGGTGATCAAGCCGGTGATTTTGCTTTTGTGGAAGCCGTTGGCTGTCAGTACTTTAGTCAGGGTGCATAGTTCAGTCTGGTCTCAGATAGCAAGCTTGACCTTAAATTGGGTTCAATCCACCGCAGAACAAAAGAGGATGTTTATAAAGGCTTCACCAGGGTGGCTCTTCAGTTTTGTTTTGTTTTTTTGCAAGTTTCCAGGATGATGGTAAACTTGCATATAACTGCTCTTAAAACTTCCTAGAATAGAATGAATGAGCTGGAAGGGACCTTGGATTTAGTCTCAAACTAGTCTAATTGTGAGCTCACATATTTTGAATCTTTGTGGGGTTAAATTACACTCTAATAGAGATTAAAAGGCACTGAATGAGCCAGTTTCCTTCAATTTCTTTTTCGTTGCCTCTGTCTTCAAACTGAGGGGGTGACAACTTTACCAGGATGTTGCCTAAGGGCTTTTGAAATGCCATTTGAAATTTGTGTAAACGCTTAGAAACCTTCCTGTGCTGATTCCCTCATCGCATTTTCAGATAAAAGAGGGCAGAGTAAATAGCAGATATGACCATTTCTTCACAGGAGGAATTAGTTTGGGTCTTTTCCTATGCAGAAATACTTCAGGAGCAGGAATGCAGAGAAGTTAAGAAAAATGTTGCATGAATTTAGTAGCCTCTAGATTCGTTTAGCACCTTATTTGCTCTTTTCTATATTCTTTCTAGGGCCTCAGTATCCCTTTTGCATTGGAGTGTTTAGAACTGGACACAGCCCCCCCCAAGTGTGACCTCGATACTGTGATAGAAAGCATTATTTTTCTATACTTCTCCCCTTCACGTTATTTATGCACTTACATACATACGTCATATATGTGTACATAAGTAATGTACATCAGAGGTCCCCAACCACCGGGCCCCAGACCGGTACCGGTCTGTGGATCATTTTGTACCGGGCCGCCTACTGTGCTTGGGCGCCGCCATCTTGTTTCAACGGCGCTTGAGAAAGTGCTTCCGGGTGAGCTTGTCGGTCGTCGGTTGGATGGAAAGCGGCGTTTGGGTGCTGAAGGAATCCTCGCGCCTTAGTTTCGTCGAAGGGGGGGGGGGCGGCTTCGAACGAAGAGCCGTCCCGATGGCGGTGGAGTCTCGTGTTACTCAGGAGATTAAGAAAGAGCCTGAAAAGCCCATCGACCACGAGAAGGTACAAAGGAGGAGTTGAAGGTGGCAGGGAGAAGCGGGGGACAGCTGGCTGGTCGCTCAGCTCGCCTTGCCTTGGTCGTGCGTGCTGATGCCGGTACCAGTCCGTGGATTGTACCGGTCCGTGGTACAAAAAAGCTTGGGGACCACTGATGTACATTAATTATATATTTATATACTCTCCTCCCCCACCCCACCCTTCATAATCTGGTGAGGACATGACTTCAAGTCAGGAAATAAGATAGAAATGATTTCACTGATTTGAAATTAGCCCAGTAAGGGAAACTGTTAACATGCTGGTTGAAAAGGCAGTTTGTGGTGTTTGTGGTTAATAATTCAGAAGCAGCTGTGGCAAGGACTCAGTGGAGCATCTGTTTTTGGAGTTACTTCTAGATAGTTGCCTTCTGGGGCAAAGTTCTTCCATTGACATGATTTTTGAGATAGAATCGAAATAGTCCAAGGCTCTTCAAACTTGACAGCTTTAAGACTTGTGGACTTCTAGCTCCCAGAATTCCTGGAGCTAACATGACTGGAGGAGGCCTTCTGGGAGTTGAAGTCCACAAATCTTAAAGCTGTCAAGTTTGAAGACCCCCTGGAATAGATTAACAGAGTTGGAAGGGACCTTTGAGGTCTTCTAGCCAGCCCCCTGCCCTATGCCATTTCAGAGAAATGGTGGTACATTCTCTTCTTAAAAACTTCCAGTTTGGAGAATTCACAACATTTGGATTAATTGTTAAGTGATGTCTGGAAAGTTTGTGTGAATTGGCCATGTCGCCAGATCCAAGAGATGGATCTTTGCTGATGACTCATGTGAAATTCCTTAAGCATACTGTATAATTTTAGGGGCAGAATCTTGTGTGTCACTACAATTGCCAAATGAGTAATCTCTAGTTTTCTAACTAGCCTTCACAGATGATTATTTCTAAGAGCTGATTTAAAATTGCACCCATCTTTTATAGGCCTTTCTAGAGCAGCTGTCCTTCTCTTCAGAATGATGGAAATGACCGATAACTTGTTTTCTCTTTTCTGGAATAGGTGATTCTTTTATTGAGTTATCTTCATTATCCTCATACAGATAATTTCATTGAAAGGAACGCCTTATAGCTTTTCATACTGAAAAACTCTGAAGTAGCAGTTTTGCTTTGCTTAATGGCAGGACTGGCCTTTGGAAGACCACGCCAAATTGTTGTTTGTGAAGTGAAGGCAACACCCATCTTAGAGGGAGCAGAAATGTCTGTTGCTTTTAGCTTGGCCTCACTTTGTAGCATTTTGGAGATTCTGAGGTCTTCCAACGTCTTGCAGGATTAGCATCCCAGTTGCTGCATGCACAATAAGAAATCCCTTCTTCCTGGGTTAGTTTACCCCTCAAATTCAAACTTTCAAGCCTTATATACATACGTTTATAAATTACAGAAGTGAAAATTGTTGTTGACAATGAGGGGGCAGGAAAATCTGCTGTATTAATGGCCCTCTATTCCGGAATGGCAAGCTTTGCCTCTTCGTTGCATGTTTTATGAATGGAAACAATCGTCTCTGGAAGTAAACGCTTTTTTCTCTCCATTCAGCGGGACTTCCTTCTGAGTAAATAAATGCAGAATCTCTCTGACAACAACTTTTGCTTAGTGAAGGCTCTTCTACCTCCTATAAAATACACTTATTTTTAATAATGCACATCTCTAAACCAAAAAAAAAAAAGAAAGTTATTGTTCCAAGAAGCTTTAAAAAAAAAAATGCATGCCTCATTGACGGAAATAAGGACGGGGGTGTCAGCTTTCAGTGCTTCAACTTGAAATAGGATACATTCCCAGGGGAGAAGGCTGCCAAGGGTTGCAAGCACAGGTGTCAAACTCAATCGTGGGAAATGACATATTGCGACACTTTTTGCCTTTGCGGAGCCAGGGTGGGCGTGGCCTGCGTGCGATGCATCCGGCCAGGGATGGGCTTCAAAATTTTTAGCAATGGGATCTCTGCCCAGTTGCTGGGCGGGCGTGGCTTAGTTGGCCTCCTGCACCACGGCGGGGGTGTGTGTTTCACCCTCCCCGGGCTCCAGAGGCTTTCTTCGAGCCTTCGGGAGGGTGAAAAGAGCCTCCCTGGGCTCCGGAGGCTCCCTGGAAGCCAGAAACGGGCCCATTTCCAGCCTTCCCAAACTTCCAGGAGGTTTTTTTTGCCCTCCCTGAGCCTCTGCACATCCCTTGCACTTACCTGCATCCAAAACAGGCCGCGTGGGGACTCCTGGGAGGGGTGAGGCATCCAGGAGTGGGATTTGGGGGTTGTCTGAACTGCACAGAAACCTAGCTAGGGGGCTCTCCCAAACCCCTGCAAACCCCCAGCAGCCCAGCCCTGCATCCAGCTCATGGGTGGCCAGTTTGACACCCCTGATTTGCAAGCACCTGAAAAATGCCACTGAATGCAAAGAGGAACAATCCAGAGACAGGGAGAACAAACTTGGCTCTTATATTCCTAAAACACATACAGGCTTCAGGGCAATATGCAGAAGACGTTACAAAAACCAAAAGGGCGGAAACATTCCTTAATCCCCCAGGAAAGGAGACGGAACGAGGAAGAGACTCATGCTAACTTCTGTCCTGACCAAGGCTTCCTGAGACATTAACAAACACACGTTAGTCCCAAAAACCTTTTGTTTTATTTCAGTGGCTGTGAATTATAGTCATGTACAACCCCATAATGAGTCTCATACAGTACGTGAATAGTCCCACAGAAGTCTGCCAAAGTCCTTCGGGATAAGTCTGATAAGCACGCACCTTTATCTTTCTTAAAATGCTGCCACAAGGACTAAATTGCCAATTAGTTAAGGCCAAACGGAGCACAAATTCAACACGGCGCTTCAGGTTTCAAACCGACCAGTACGAACAAAGTTGCTTCCTGCAAAGGGCTCCTGTCCCTTTGCTCCTCCTTTATGTCTTATGGGAGGGCCAATCACCTCCCAGCCTTACTCCCAAGTCACCCCTTTTGTCTTTGCAAGGTTTGGTTAATATATGTATCGGTTCATCTCAATGAAGCTAAAATCTAATCATCTCCTATAGTTGATCTGGACAATCTTGATGGTCTGATGAAGCGATCCTTGCCAAAACAGTCACTTGCTCCTTTTGGAGAGGAAGGGTGGTGGTCTTGCTGGAGCTGCTCAGACATCTTGGTGGTCTCTGTGATTAGGAGAACATGTAAACACAAGGCCTGGGGGCTGGATATGGCTCATGATGTGAGAGCTGGCCTGCGATGTGAGATCCAGCCCGTGATGTTAGATCTGGCCCGCGATGTGAGATCCGGCCCGCGATGTGAGATCTGGCCCGCGATGTCAGATCCAGCCTGCGATATCAGGTCTGGCCCACGATGTCAGATCCAACCTGTGATGTCAGATCTGTCCTGCGATGTCACATCCAGCCTGCAATTTCAGATCTGGCCTGCGATGTGGAAGATGTAAGGGGCCGGCCAACGTGGATTTGGCCCGGTCTACTCACTGCAAAGAGGAAACATGCCAGCAGTTTGGGGGGTGGCATCAAGCTGGCTATGCCCACCCAGTTGGTCATGTGCACCTAATTGGCCTCATCCACCCAGTCGGCCGTGCTCCCCCCCACCCCGCAAGGTCAACCACAGCCCCGATGTGGCCCTCAATGAAATTGAGTTTGACACCCCTTTCTTTTTCCTTGGGCCTGCCTTTAATGTTTCTTTCAGTCCCTCGGAATCTGAGAGCACCTTTTTGTGACCTTCTTCAAAGGCCATGCCAGGCTGGAAGGGCGCTGCCAGTCTCCTCTTGACTTTTTGCCACTTTGGGCTACCGCGGCTAGCCTTGCAATGTTTCGGGAGGAGTCTTGGCTAAAAGGCGCACCAAAATGGAGAAGAAATGCGCTCTTTCCAAAGTAAGCCGCTCCCCAGACCTGCTCCTACTCCAGTAAAGTAAAGAGAAACCTTTCCAGCATCTCATCTTGCTCGCTGTGCCACTTTTCGGATTCTCTCGACTTCATCTGAAGTGTGAGCTAAGTGTCTGGAGCTGTGTTGCAGCTGTTCTTTTTTTATCCACTGCTTGGTTTCTTCTTGGGAGCAGATCCTGCTCTCTTGTCCTGATGAATGGGCTGCAGTAAATTTTGAGTGTGACTCTACGCGTCTCTTCCTCCTCCTTCGCAGAATGGGGCCCATTATTCAGCTCAGGCGAAGCCAATGGAGCTCTGTTCTACAAAACAGTACGAATCTTTGTTCTTCTGAATAGCAGGTCTTGGCAAAAGGCAGGAGAGGCTGAGTGAGCCCAGCATCCCTTCCAAGGATTCACTTTGAAAGATCTGCAGGAGAATCATTTTTGATCACTGTCAACAGATGTGCTGTTTAAAATCTATCCTCCTTCCCTTCCCTCCCTCCCTCCTTCTTTCCTTCCTTCCATACCCCCTGACCTCTTTCCTTCCTCCCTCCCTCCCTCCTTCCCTTCCCTTCCCCTCCCTCTTTCTTTCCTTCCTTCCCTGCCTCCTGACTTCCTTCCTTCCTTCCTTCCTTCCTTCCTTCCTTCCTTCCTTCCTTCCTTCTTTTCTCCCTCCCTCCCTCCCTCCTTCCTTCCCTTCCTTCCCTACCTCCTGACCTCCTCCCTCCCTCCCTCCTCCATCTTTCTTTCCTTCCTTCCTCCCTCCTTCCCTCCCTCCCTCTCTTTCCATCCTTTCCTGCCTCCTGACCACTTTCCTTCCTCCCTCCCTTTCCTCCCTACCTCTTTCTTTCCTTCCTTCCCTACCTCCTGACCTCTTTTCCTTCCTTCCTTCCTTCCTTCCTTCCTTCCTTCCTTCCTTCCTTCCTTCCTTCCTTCCTTCCTTCCTTC